AAGTATGGAACATATGTAATAATAACAGAACCCCACACCCTCCCCGTGGCTTTCGCTGCGTATGGAAGTTATTTTCATGTTATTTTCGCTTCGCTCGTGAAAGTACGGCCGCAGGATACACCGCATCTCGAGTGTGGGGTGTGGGGTTCTGTCATATTATTTCAGCTGGAAATAATTTTTTTTTCTCTAAAAAAAAAAATTGTTGACAGATGCATGTATGGACACAGTCACATAGACAGACAAAACACAACTCAAATTTGGTTTATAAATTACTTTCCATACTGATTTGCCTTAAAATTCACATGAAAACTGGGGAAAGGAGTCCTGGATGGTATTTTGCTAAATAATAGAAATGTATCTCATAGAAGCACACATAAAAATAAAAATTGTATATATTGCATACAGTTTGCATACTTGATTATTAAAATATTATGGTGATTTTAGACACACTTCTGTCATTTACGTATAAAGATATACAACTACCGTACTTTCCCGATCATAAGCCCAGGGGCCTGAGCATGTAAAATTGAGAAAATTAGGGGGTGGGCTTATACTTGAGGACTACCTCAGAAAAGATTATTCGGAAAAGTAAAACTATGTTCAATGACCAGGTTTCACAACTAGATGATTACATTTTTGGCGTTTCGATTAAACACCCTGGGCCTATACTCGGGGATGCCCTCAACTTGTTAAATGTCTAAAAACAGAGGGGTGGGCTTATACTCAGGGAGGGGCTTATGCTCGGGGAAGTACGGTAATAGAACAAATCGAATCATATAAGAAATTTGCACAAGCTAGTTTCTAAAACCTGAAGAACAACAGAACCATTGCTGTTGATAACATCATAGTACAATGTAATGACAAACCTTTGGTGGGGTAAATCCTTTTTCTTTGCACCATTTATTAAAACACAGGGTAGCTTGTTGAATTTTTACTGGGTCTATGTCCTTACAGTAGACCCTAATGTGTTGTTCAGCAAACCTCTCAGGTAGCATCTGAGAAACCTGAAATAATAATCACATGACAGTGAAATGAGGGAAATATTCATAATGATGGATTTTTTATTAAAGGGCTTTGAAATGCACATGAACAACAAATTGTATTTACCATATTTACTGTGGGACACAACTTGAACTATGACCTGTGGGACTCAACTTGAACTATGACCTGTGGGACTCAACTCTGACCTGTGTGTAATGCGTAATCTACATACCTGATTTTTTCTGACCATCATTGCTTCGTTAGGATTGGCTTTAGAATAAAACCTAACATGATCAATAGGATTCTGGTCACCCATGCCGTAGTCTAAATCAATTATCTACAAGTGAAAAAGAGACAATTTGATTCCCAACCTGATAAAACTGGGATCAATCTATATCGCAAACAAATTTAAGTACTGGTGTTGGCAAGTCATTCTAAAATGAATAAGAAGCAGTTATGATTATATGTAGATTAATAAGTTGCAAAAGTACAAGTTTTGGTTGTTAGTAGACTAGAGGTGTGAAAAATGAACTTTTTGGTATGGATGGGGGTTAGATTTACTGGTATCATTAGATTAATTAATCAATTAGCCATGTCTATTATACACCAAAGTTTGATGTTGTGTGATAGACTGTTAAATCTGACACAGGACAACGGAGTCACGCTTCCGAGACTGTGTGGTAATACTTACATGGACAACGATGTTATCAGCTGGCACTTGGTGACCTGCTGTTGATAATATTGCTGATATTCCTTCCTGAATTTGTGGAATTTCATCCTGAAAAATAGAATATTAACATGTACAAGGTAAAGTTCAATGTGTGCACCAAGATTAAACAAATTCTGTCATTGCATGACTGAGAAGTTGGGTTGGACGTACAGAAATGCCTGATTTTTAGCACTAAAATTGCAACCATTTGATTAATATCGTAAATCAGATCCCAACAACGAATGCAATATGGACTAAATACCACATAACCATAAAAATTGTTGCAACCACAATGCAAGTAAATGTTCAGCAACAACTTTAGACAGCGCCATCTAGAGTCTGAAACTAAAGTCAAGCTTGTTCACTTGTTTAAGTATGACCATTGACAAGCTATTGTCACTCCCGGTGACTCTCATTGGGAACATATTTTTTTTTTTTTTTTTTTTTTTTTTTTTTTTTGGAAATGCCTCTAATCAGATACCTTATTTTTCCTAGCTGAAAATACCTAAGTTGGTCAGATTCCAAGTCAATCATGTACAGATTTGTTGGAAGCAGTAATTAACCATCAATATGACCCAAGTAAATGCATGGGTATATATTAAATATATGCCAAATATATTAAAAGAAATAGGTTGGCGTGCAGTTCGCGCCCTAATTTTTAGTAAAACAAGCCATGCATGGCATGGCACAGTCTTCGTCAGTTATCAAATTTAAAATATATAGTTTTGTTTATAGTAATATAGCTGGAATATAACCATGTCAGGAATATTATTTTTTAACATTAAAATGATTGACATTTGTATCTGATCATCAAACAAGTACTTATTGAGAGATATTGCTTTGGAACAGCATTCAAAATCATCCAATTTGAATACATCTATATATATAACATGATGTATAACGAATATATAAAATTTGAATATAATCAGTCAAAGCATTTAAGAGATATGGCTCTAGAAGCCCAATCATTAAAACAAAATGGCTGACCGCCAGTCAGCCATTTTGAATCCAATCTGAAAAATAAAATGACTTGCATCAGGAACCCGTAATGTCTAACGTATGTACCAAGTTTGAAATCCATCCAAGTCGAAGATATGGACCGAGAAGCCCATTCATTAAAACAAAATAGCCGCCAGACAGCAATTTTAAATCCGATCTGAAAAATAAATGATGTGCATCAGGAACCTGTGATGTCTAATGTATATACCAAGTTTGAACAAAATCTATCTGTAAACAGCCGAGAAATGCTTGATTTTTAGGATTTTTTAAAACAAAAATGGCGCCATTTGGCCATCTTGAATCAGATTGTAAAACAAAATGATGTGCATCAAGGTCCTATAATGTCTAACATATACACTGTAACCTCAGTATAATGAACACCGTTATAATGAACTTCCTGATATAATGAACACATAGCGTGTCTCCCTCTCACAGCAAACCCAATGTATTATGTACTTCATTATAGTGAACATTTCACTATAACAAACTAATTGTATGTCTCCCAAAGAGTTCGTTATAGCGAGGCTACAGTGTATATCAATTTTGAACAAAATCCATCTATAAACAGCCGAAAAATGTTTGATTTTGATGATTTTTAGCACAAAAATGGCCGTTATTCGGCCATCTTGAATCAGATCGTGCATATGTATAATATCATGTATGATGTATGTGTGATTGTGAAGTTTGATTGTGATTGGTCCAGGCATTTCTAAGATACAGGTCCGTACGCACGCATGCACGCACAAACACACGCAAGCACGGAGGTCAAAACATAAGTCCCTGTTTTTGACAGTGTACAAGTCTGCATAAGATCTATAATGTATAACACAATGTCTCTTGATAACATTCACCTTCACCAGAACCATACCACGATGTCCACCCTCTATTAGTCTCACATGCAGTTCAGATATTGGCTGAACTGCATTGCCGTGCAAGTGATTAACTCAAGACTCAAAGTCAAGTTAATAGTACCTGATTAATGGTGACACCATCAGGGGGTCTTGTTTGTCCAATACATTTATACAACTTTCTTGTGAATATCTTGCGAAGTATTGTGCGAGATTCTTCTATTTCTGGTTCTGTTGTTTGTAATATTTGGTGAATAATATTATCCGTTAGTTTACAGAATGCTACCATGTCATCTATTGTTTCGGATATCTTAACCATTGTCCTGCAGAAGATATGCATAGATTAGGGCGAGATGGGTACATGAAATTACAATTAATTGTAGTGCATAAAGTTATGTCCAAGCATTGAATTTCTCTACAAATATTTCCCTTACACAGGTATACTGTAACAGAGTTTATTTTCCCGGGGTTTCAATCTCACAAATTTTAAATTTTGGGCATATTCACTAGGTTTAAATTCATTACCGGTAATTTGATAGTAAAACAATGCATTTTTAAATTAATGTGATTTAAATGTAGCAATTTTTAATGGCATGTGAATAACTTTCATGTAACATAATTATGACAGCATTTCTACAGAAGTATTGGCCCAGCAAATTAGCAATCTTGCTCACGTATTCACCGACGCATTTCGTTTAGACAAAGCAGGGAGCAACAATTATTACATAGTCTAGTCACTTAATCATTTCAGTAACTGTAATATATAACAAGCTAGTATATAAAACATAGTCAGTTCTGTTTTCAAAAGACAGGAGACTAACCAGTTGATCGCTTAAAAAACAAAATGACAAAATAGCTGTCTACTCTGCCACTATGTATTTTCAAGTGTTGCATTTCGGCATTCTACTTTCTAAATCTAGGTGTCTAACTCCAGAACTTCGCCAATATTCACTGATGAGTAAATATAAAAACAGTTTGTGTTATATATAGTTTCAAAGACTAGTTGAGCAGTATTTGCATTGTCCATTCTAACAGCTATAAGGATTGGTGAAGAAAACATACTAAGGTATGATTACTAATGGCACCAGCAAGTCAATCTGGTAGGAAATCTGTTTAGTCATAACCAAAGTTTGCAAAACGGCTACCCAAATACTGGTGAGATTTGCTGTAGCACATTACATGCCATATAGTAAAATATGGATATAATTTAAACATGTTAAATTTAATCTGCAGCAAATTTTACCACATCACACGAGTACTTATCGACTTTCACTGAAATCCTTGTTCAGCCGAAGTTAAGATTGGGACCCCCTTGTGGTAAATTCAATCAATCCTTCAGTCAACAAGTTACCGTTTGATTACCGTAATTCTAAGAGTACCGGTAATGATTTTTTTAAACTAAATTTAGAGACTTACCACCTTACTAAATATTGTGATTTTTAACAGTATTTCAATAGTTTACATACAATGCGCTGAGACTTGAGTAGTGCATTTGGAATATACATTTTCAATATCGTATTTATCCGGGTAAGTGCCCATGCCCAGGCAAACACTCACCCCCCACTTTTAATACAATAAAGAAGTTGAGATCATATCCGGGCATATGCCCAGGGGATCTTTTTCTACACTTGTAATAAAATAATTTAAAAAAAACTATTTTTTGTTCGTTGTATTAACGATTCAAGCAAAGCAAGTGTTGCACTCGTTCGGCTTCAGTGTCATCGACAATAAAACCATTGTAGTAATCCGTACCCGGGGGAGTGATTGAAATCACGTTGTTTTGGCTTTATGAAATATTCAGTAGCAGCTTGCGAATCCATAACTTGGGCCAGCAATTTTGCAATGTCAAGCAGGGATGTCACACCGAAGGCTGTCAACCATCTTTCATCGCAGCTATTGCATTTCTCTCTTGAAAATTATTCTTCTGTCGTTGGAAAGAAAATTATTCCTATTTCAAGCCCACCGTGATATCCGTATAGTGAGACATTCAGACCGAATGGTAACTTTCACCATGATTGATGAGCTTCTAAGTCTGGTAAGAAAGCAATGTTGAATTCACCTCTATGATGAAACACTAGTAGTGATGCCATTCTTAGTCAATCAGTAAAGCGGATGCTTAAAGGTCAAAAATGATTGCCAGACAGTAAACAAAAGCATCGTGTGCCATTGTAGTAGAGTCGTTTGCAGAGACCCCATTTTTCTTGTCTCTACACTCTGTGTGGGACAACATCAACGAACTTCAGGACGAAGATGTAGGGATTTTGTTTGATCAAGACAGTGACGCCGAATTGAACTTTGAGGGTTTTGACTTTTACAAAGATGACAATGAACGTACAAATAGAGATCTGAACTTTCGTAATTTACTGTGTAAATTATTATTGATCTTGTATGGCTGTTGTACCGGTATTTGTCAAAACCAAAAATAATTTTATGCAGTTTAACCCCTAACATTTTAATTCATTTTGAGTTTATGCGTGCTTGTCGGTGAGAAAATCCTACCGGGGTAATTCAAATGATTCCTCACGGTCGATTTTTATTATTTCTGGTTTATTTGTCACATTATAAGCAATAAATTATTTTTGTTATACCCCTAATGTTGCATATTGTTCATTTATTGTCGCTGCATGTTTTTATTTGCTATTCTATTCCCTGCCACAGTTTGATCTTTGTGTTGTTAATTTTCATTTTTTTTTTTTTCAGGGGATGTTCAGGACCCTGGGCGCTTACCCGGATAAATACGGTACTACTACTACTACTACTAATAATAATAAATACATACCCATTTGTGCCTGGAATCTTGATATGATCATCAGCTTTTACAAGGGCTTCAACAATCCTGAAATACAGAAGAACATTTGCAATTGAATTCTGTATAAAAATTAAAATTGAAACTGAATTTTTGTGTTTTATAAAATGATCATGATAAAACATCTTGTTTACTATTTGCAATAACAAGTAGAAATAAACCATTATTAATTATAAAACCACATATTTCATCGGGAATCACGAAATGAGTGATTATGTCAGCAGGATTACATTAAAGTATTATAATACAAAGCATGCAGAGGTCATAGGTCAATTCTCAATTTCAAACCTCCATAGTTTAGACAAATTTAAACAGCCCAGCCTTGTTACCCATAAATGAGATTCAGATACTTCTTTCACAATTTTATTCAAGTGGTCTAATTATTCAAGTAATTTTCACATCGGAAAAGACTGATATGAACATCGCCTATCATTCATAACACAATTGGGTTTTTGGATCACCAATAAAAAAATCATATACGGAAAGAGACTGTTAGAATTGATCACTTACATTGATTCTATAATCTTGTTGACTTTATGTTGATAGGCTCTTCTATGTAACGTATTCCTTGTATGAAACATGTCATACAGGTTACTGACTTCCTAATAGAGTAATTAAAATAAACTAGTATTAAAATAAATCAGTATTATCACCATGTGTTTGACTGCCATATTTATATTTCTCGTCGAAGTGTATTTTTCTATATTAAATTTGTTTATTTCAAACCAATGCTCACATAATCAATTCAACAAATTCAGGTGATGATTTATGTAGTTACGCAGACCCGTGTGACCGCACAGAAGAGAATGCAAAAAAATTAAACATTGTTTTGCTTCAATACCAATATCAAGAATGGCAAAATCTTTGGACGGGAACTTATGACATGGATTAGGTCTACACTATATTCTCGGGATTTCACTCAAAATACTTAGAACACTACTGTGTAAATGAACATACAACATCATTTGATGGAATCTCACAATGAAAAAGAAGCACAAACTTGTCCTGAACAGTTTAACATTTTCATTACTGAATAGACATCCATATACTGTTTCTGACAAGTATCAAAAGTATTAATTTTATTTGCGTTTCCTGAGTGACAGAAGTGATGTCATAGTAGTAAACTATAAATCCAAATAAACTGGATTTTCAAAGCTGCATGTGACAAATGCAATATGCAGAAAAATTACATTATGGCAAACTAATGTGTATTGTTCACAGTGGTTAAGTTGAGGTTTCTGAGTGAAAAGTAGCCAACTTGTTTAATAATATATATACTGGTAAGCATTAGACACAAATATTACCTTCTCTCTACAGCATATCTGTGGAGAACCATCCACGTTGATAACTCTAGCAAATTGCTGAAATCGGCGATAGTCAAAGTTGTTTGGAATTCCCAGATTGTGACAGTCTCTGGCAAAGTAGTCCCACTTGTCCACATCGATACCATTCCTTTTATTGGCTACTATCTCATACAGGAAACTCTTCTCTTTTTCTCTGCCACGGTAAGGACATGCAGTCTGAAGATCATTAATCACAGATAGTTAAAGAGATGAAATGACATTATTAATTATTGGCACCCAAAGATTAAAGACACATTTCCAGGTGGGAAAGATATTAGTTAGGAACATGGTTTAAGATACACCACACGTTTTAACTGTACAAAAAACTTTTGGTTCCTACAATATCAAACCAGTATAAAGGGGTCCTACTATTTAACGCCCGGACACGCGAGGGAGTGTCCGGGCACGCGCGGAGGCGAACAGGGGGGAATACCTAACGCGCGGGGCAGCGGCAGCAATCCTTGTACTGTATAATATTAGTTTATGCTCAAAATTTGAACCGGAGTGGCGAATTCGAGCAGCTATCATAGGGGAAGATGATGTTAGATGGTGTTAGACATCAGTTGAGGCAAACAACCATACTGGAACATTTATTTATTTATTTTATCTTTAAAAAAGCCCTTAAAATTCTTAAATTTCTGCAAGCACATTGGGTTGTTGCTGTACCCAGATTTGACTATATACATTGTAGAAAGAAATAGAATTGTAAAAAAGAACAATAGGCATGCAGCTAAAAGACTCCTGATATGTTTACCTTATTATTCTGTCTCTGCAATGGTCCTGCTATCTGTTCTTTTATGAATGTAATGTCTTTTTCATTTAATCCGTAGTCTTTAATTACACCCATGAGGTTGTTGTCTTCTATCAAGTAATCAAACATGTCAACCGAGGCTTGCTCATGCTGTAGAGATAAAGGCATTAAGCATATCATTAAATGAAAAAAAAAGTAGTGAGCTCTCCAGCTAGTACGCAAACATGCACAAACTGACAAGCAGCTAGTCCAACCTTAATCTAGTTTTTAAGACACGCACAGTGCAGTCTAAGCCTTAGTACAGACTAATGAATTGTGTCAGATTTAACCCCTAGAAGGGCTTGGAGATAATGCTCTACACATATAGTAGGTTTTTGAGACAAATATGGGTGGCAATCCGTCATGAACCATTAAAAAAGTGAAGACAGGTGAATACATGTCAATCCAATCCATTAGCCCCCAGTCTGATTCCAGTCGCAGCTAAAACGATTTACAATTTGTATAATCTTTCTTAGTTTGTGGCGTTTATTATTTAGTTCATATTAGCAGTAATCTCTAGTCTCTCTCCCTCAATCATGTGTGGGTGCAACTGAAAATCAAAGAAAGCTTGGGAAGAACTCCCGTGTGCTGAGATTATTGGAGACACATTAAAATTAATTCAAAATTTAGGATTTGCTTTTCAAACGAGAAGCATTATCAAAATTTATAATACATACAGAAAATACATTTGGTTTTTCATCCATGGTTTTTAATCTTATTAATTCTAGAGCACCTCTGTGATGAATTCAATTTAAATCTGATTTTTTTTTAGATATCAACATTAAACTAATCATGTCTGTGGATTACCTCAATGAACCAAATCAATTATTATACAAATTAAGTAATTATTACATATTGATTTAGGTCTGTATATTGTTTCAGTACGCACATTTACAAAATTTCATTATAATGTGATGATTAATCCTTACCAAATTAGTGGAAAGCTGAAAAAGTAAATTATTATACAAATTAGGTACCGTATATAAACCTAAAACTAATTAGATTATCTCATTGTGTTAGAGTATACATGTATAAGTACCAAAATGCACTGAATTGAGATATGTACTGTCACAGACCATCTATGTACAAACTTTCATTGAAATGTGATTAGAACCAACAAATTATGAACTATTATGCAAATTAGGTAATTAATAAGGTTAAATTAGGTTAATTATATGCATAGATTTTTTTACAAACTAACATACGGTTCTTGAGATAATGAAGGAACGGACAGCCACACATACAGGGTGTACATTTGTACATACAGACAGACACGACACGGTCAAAAAGGATTTTCACATTTGATAACTATAGGCTATATTATGAATGATGAGGGACTGAGTAAATATGCAGGTTGGCAAAAGACAGTGGTGTATATTGTCGACAGCACATACAGGTAGTGTTTTTCTGCATTTTAGGAAGCTGGTTATCATTAAAACATATTCAATCATCATATTTTTTGTGCATTTACCATATTTTATGTCTGGAAATCCAGAAAAAGTATGGTCACTGACTCACTGTCCAAATATTGGGTCAAACACTCTTGAAAATGATGATTTTGAGCCATTTACCATTGTTTCCATGGTGAAAAGATCTTGTCATAAATGTATATAACAATTTTGTTTAGGTACATATGGTGAAAAAATCATATTTGATTTATGAGATGCGTGCTTATGCTTAGCAATCTTAAATTTTAAGCGTTAGAGTCATTGTGCCAGGTCGTGTTCAATATACGACACATAGTGAGGTACACAATGCATGTAAAATACATTGCATATTTACATGTAAATTCAAATGTAAATGCTTACGTGTGACAACTGTAGTGCTTTAATTGAGTTATCACGAGAAATGTTAGATTAGAACTGATTTTGCCACTCGGCGCTTACTGCAAAAATCATTTATATCTGCTGGAATTAATTTTCACTGAAAAGACTTTTAGGGAGTTTTGTATGGAGTATAATTTCACTGATTTTTGATGAGTTTAAATAAATATAGGAAAAAGCACTATATATATTTTATTTTTACTGAATCATCCCTTCAGTGGTTATTTTTTATCTGGATATTCTCAAATCCTGTCATGTTGCACTGTTTTCAAATTCTGCTTTGAGAGTAAGCTAAACACAACTACCCGGTAACCAATGGATGATTCCTTTTTTGTGCCAGGCGACAGTTCAGGACATTGAATGTCACCGTTGTCTCTCCTGACTTTTTTCTTGTATGTGCAAATTGCAAGTGCTAGTGATGACACATAGTGCATTTTTGCCACAGAACTCATATTCATGTTTGGGACAACATGACAGGGCCGTGCGACCATCTTTCTATCAAATGGCAGTTTAATGCGCTATCCTGCGTCAACCAGGCTCGGTCGAACACAAGCACCTGCAGACCTTAACCAAGGTTCCTCCAAAGTCGCATTTGTTAATGAATGAATCTCAGCCAGTGGAATTGGCCTTCCCATTGAGACTGTGGCACACTCACCCAGGGTAGGGGGTCGACCCTTTTGATGTTCAGGCTGAGGTAGGATTTGAACTTAGGTCTACCGATCATGAGTCTGATGCGACAACCACTATGCTACCAGTGACTGGTTGATTCATGATTTTCGTTTAAGGTCATCCTTTCTTTGTCAATCAGAAAATTCTGTGTGGGATTTCTGAAGTTGACAATAGTATCGTTTTAAATGAACAGAGATGATGTTATTTTGTTCCCAGTATGAAATGGTTATATTAGATTTATAAGTTAGTATGTTTTGAACTATATGTATGATGAAATAAATTACAGGAAATATGCCTTGAACAGTAAAACTTTACTAATTTTCTTTAATGTGCCAATTGTTTTGGCTTCATCTTTTTATTTTCTGTTCAAATGTGATTTAGAATCATGTTGCAATGTGCATGAATTTACATGATTTTGTTATTGTTGTAGGGCTAACTTACATCAAGTTTGTTCATCTTCTAGTCGTTTGTTTAGTTGACTGTTGTCTTTGTCAAATGACCTGCATTCTCAATCTGAATACTTAGCATTGAATGTGAGCTCATTTTCACCATGTCTGTCAGCTGAATTGCTATATGTGTAAAATTCATGGCAGTTCTAATGAACCCATGCATGATTATGTTGGGAAAAACTGTATTTGACCTCAGCGGAATTGAGTGATTTCATCGGATGTGCCAAACCATCATAAACCAACACCTTTCATCACATGATTGCTTAAATGACATGTGATTTTGCATGTGACTTTGTGTTCCATTTACCATGGAAACCACAAGACCATTCGCCATTGTGTTTGATTTTGTTAACAGTGAATCCAGGTTCATAGTGGAAATTCTGCCACGGTATAATATGGCGTGGCAAAAACCAAATCAATGAATCATGGCTGGCGAAGATGGTAACGAACATGAATTGGCTTTCATTGCAAATGAGTAAACACTGATAGTCCAAAGATTATATTCATTGCCCTCAAGACAAATAAATATGATTTGCCGAGATATTAATTAATACATTCACAGTTTCAGGGACACATTGATAAAATTTATATTAAGTTTGGAAGTCATTCTCTGGTAGCCTTCTGAACATCTCATGAGAATTTGACAACCCTGTACAAAATAAATCCCTTGTGTAGCCTTGTTAAAGGTTGAGATAAAAAGAAATAGTCACAAGGTGAATTCTGTATAATTTTCACTGCTAGAAATACCAGGAGTTCATGTTTTATGGTGTGCGTTAAAACAAAATTTAGTGAAAGTCATTGAGAGTCTGTGTCGTAGGACCCTGAAAAAATCTTCAATCAATCAAATCAAATGTTTGTGATTTTCACTGACTCACGAAATTCAAAACAAAACAAAAATATCCAATGTGCTGTATGAGAAAGGACATAGTACATGGAGTATGTATGCAAGATTAATTAATTGAATGTAATATATCCATTGGGTAGCGTTGTATCTTACCTTCCAATTCTTTTTAGGTCTAACATAAGGAATAAACCAATTATCAAACATATGGGAATATGGACCATGGCCTGAAATAAATACGACAAGTTTTGTACTTTTGTTATCATGATGGATAGAGGTTTACTTGCAGCACTCACTTAGGGGGCTGTCCAGGGATTGCGTTAACCCCATATTTTGCTTCCCTGACTCCAATTATTGAAGAGGGACCCAGTTTTTCAGTCAAGCTGGGGTCCAATCTCTAATAGTTATCCAGGATAAAATTTCTATCTCTTAAAATTTTGTAAGTGAGACTCGTCTTGCAGCGACACTAGCGCAAACCCTGCTGTCTGTACATTTAATCCTATATGTTGTTTTGGATTTAGGAAGTTTCACATCTTTCTTGGAAACAATCAGAGAATCAATACTGTAAGGGGTTGACTTCACATCAAATCTTAGGGCTTTGTTCCAGATGATATTTTGTGAAAGTCACTGCAACAAACTCCCTATAGCGTGACAAGGCAAATCTTAATAACAAATTGTTTTAAATTACTCTCCGTACATATAAATTTAACTTTGACAATAAAAAAACCAACAGTACACATCATTTAAAGAAACAGCGTATATTAATGACTTTGGTTTGCAGAAAAAAAAAACGACAAATAAGCAAGATGTTTTCTCTCACCAAGATCATGGCAAAGACCAGCAATCTGCACACATAATACATCAACATCGCTTATAGGTAAGTCTGGTTGTCTGGTTTGCAAGGTTTTCGCTAACTGTCCAGCTAAGTAACACACACTGATTAAGTGGAAATAACAATATACAATGTAATACACAATTAGGGTGAATACATTGCCTGCTGAAAGCCCCTATCATGACAGGCAATGTGTTAATACAAAAATATAGAAATAATAAGAACTGATACAAATCACCACCATTTTTAAGCTTTCTTACTACTCTAAAAAACATTATTTTCACTTGGAATTACATGTAATTTTCGCTGAAAAAGTGATGAAGTGAAAATAAAATACAGAGAATATCTCTTTTTTCCTATATTTAACATTCAACTCATCAAAAAATTAGTAAAAATAAATTCCATACAAAACACCCAAAAAGTCTTTTCAGCGAAAATTAATTCCAGCTAAATTAATGTATTTTACAGTATATGTTGACGTAACAAAATAGCCGACACTGGTTGATAGTAATGGAAACAAATACGCTATAATTATAATACGCGATAGTACATATGTACTAAAGTTTCTATCATTGCATTCTGCTTCAGGAAATAGCAAAAACATCCCAGGACAGGATGAAAATCGAGAAAAACAATGTGCCGGTACACCCATGACAAATTAATATTTTGTGAATACAAAATGGAAAATGAAAGACAAAATTTGTTTAAACATTATGATAATCTAATTGTGCAAAATAAACTAAACTTACCCAATAGAATGTTCAAATCTATTATGAGCTGCCCCAGGGAATACAAAATAACAAGCACCAAGCTGTTTAATGTAGCGTAGCCTCTGAAACTGTGGTGTATCTATTATCTTCACACACAGGGGATGAACTTCAATATGTCCATGTATTGGGTCATTGAATACATGCACCTGGAAGGTAAAACAGTGATATGAAGCACCAGCAACGAGAGAGATTCATGATTTCCAGAGACATCTATTCACTCACCATTGGAGCCTGCACAAGGACAGAATGAAGACTAAAGCACCACAGTCCACATTAGTTCCCATGCAATGTACTAAATGAGTGTAAAATACAATGTACATTATTATTATTACCAGTATACATGTATAACATTTGAACACTGACCAATTGAACATTAAATTCATTGCCACTACATATTGTGAATTATTATATTTCAGTACCAGTAATTTCATTACAAGATACATAATTATATCAGCATGAATTTTAAAACATACTATCATGACAGCCAAACTTAATTGATGTTGAGTTCTGGTTGCAAAAGTAACATTGCATTATTTTTTGGACAAAATACTAAGTACTAGTTTGCGATCCAGAGAAAATGATTCAACCTTCATATTAAGACAACCTGTCTATAAAGACCTTTTTAATGAAGTCCCCTGGATTTTTGCTATACATAGGTTTATCTGGATATGTATATTGGCCTTGCAGGAACGCAATGGATGAATGTGTTTTAAAGGTTCTTTGAGATGAATTACACAACCATATCATGTGTGGTACCAGACTTACTTTCAGATTGAGATTATCTTGAGAGAGATTTCTAAAAAGCTGTAGAAGCTGAAGTCTAGTGCCCATCTTTCTAAGAAAACAAATATACATGTCATGATTTCAAATTAAGAAATATAAAATAAATCATGCATGTACATACAGCTAAGTATAATTGCCTTATCTTGGCAATGTTAAAGCGCGGTAGTCGTCGCGCTCCGCATGAGCCACATTTGTGTTAATAAACATTGATTTTCCAACAATCCAATGCGCTCTTCAAATGGAAATCACAAGTATGAGGTTTGACCTGGGCGCGACTTGCACTGATTACCGCCGGTGTCTCCTTTGATGCCTTCCAATAACATGAAAATTACTTAATTAAAGCTTGGAAACGTCTCAGTTCGTACTCGTTGATCTGTGCAACAGTCAAAGTCGCCATTTTTGTATATATGAGACCCATATATCTTGCACATGCGCAGCGCGACGACTACCGCACTTTAAGATAACAAGGGCAATCCTAATAATTCTGTTAAAAATAGAACCATTTTTGAGAATAGTCAGAAAATAAACTTCTATTTAGAGGAAAAAGCTAAATTTCTTCCATAGAAAAAAATGGACGAGTAAAAAACATGCACATTTGGGGCTTTTCTTGAAAAGTGAGAATAATGACATTTTGAGGGGCATGCACATTTTACAGACACTAAAATATTTGATCCACGTAAAATTGTTTTTTGAGAAAATGCTAAGAGTTAATGTAACCACCTGTGCTGACACCTTGCTACCGATATAAAGCACATAGCAACACCTAGCACCAGAAAGTTGTTTTTTCCAGCTTAGCTTTTCTTCAGTTATTACTCTCTGTTATTATAGCAGGACAGTACTTACTCAACTCCAATTTTCTCCAATCTTTCTTCAGTCAAATCTGACAATACTGATCCAACAATCTGCTCACCTATACAGAAATCAAACAGAATGTATGCATGACACACATACTGGCACCTCAACAACTGCATGCATGGGGGAGGGGGGGGGGGTTAGAAGTTATCATTGATCTGTACCTCTAGATTAGTTATTAGGATGTGTGACATGTATGAGGCCTTATATTGAGATAATAAATAGTTACAGCATCGAAAAAGAGCAAGAACCTGTTAGTTTGTTTCACTTTGAGCTGCATATAATGTTGTATCTTTTTATGATGTAATGATACCATTATTTATTTTGAGGTTATCCAATTTTATTTTACATTTTGACATGCCTATTTTTGAGCAAAAAAATAATGCAGATTTTCCATTACTTAAACTAAGTTGTGCTGTTGATAATGCATTTTGTATATATTTCTTTTTTATGGCAGGTGACTGAATATTAAATTTTAGACCCAATGACTAATCAAGACATTCTCTAAATTACAGTTTATATAGACTCAATTTCCAGACTGTGTCCCATCGTATTTCCAGTTAGGGAGGTGGGGCAGCTCATTAAATTATGGATAGGTAAAACTTGTGAAATCTTTTTACTAACCATCAAATATTAAGCTTACAACTATGTAAGAGAAAAACAGATGTGAATATATTAAGCGTTTACTTACAGCAACTTGACTTTTTACTGTGATCCTAGTTTAAATCTTGTGTGTGTGTGTTTATATGTCCTAATCTGCCTCAGTAGTTGCGTTCACGCACAGCTCCTTAGCACGGGCTAAGAAGTCAAATTCCTTAGCCCGTGCTAAGAAAACGTGCGTGAACGCTTAGCACGGGCTAAGGAATGCTAAGTACGGGTTAAATCTGATCCGAATTTAAGACGCGGTCTAGACCTTAGCACGGGCTAACGAAGTATGCGCGAACGCTTACCCCAGGGCTAAGCGCCCTCTGCGGCGACCTTTGGGTGTAAAAATTGTCCCATGTTCGTATAACGACACTATTCCACCAGTCATTACTCCGCGCTCGCTTCCACACTAATCGGGTCACTGTAGTAGAGCGTACAGCATGCAGCAGCTCCAATCATAGACAAAATAAATTTGGTTCGCTGTCTACAACATGCATTAATAAAACTCTGTATTCTGTTACGCCTGTTTTATACTGTTTATGTGCATCCAAATAAGTTGGGCCCGTCTCCACTCGTGTTCCTGTGCACGTCGCTTCAAAATTAGAACGAAACCCAGGAACGAAACATGCCAGTAGCAGAAATAGAACCTCGCGCGTGTCATTCATTTTTCGTTCGTAAATAGCGGCTTACCAAAGGTCACCGACTAATGGCACCCCTTAGCCCGTGCTAACGACTGGCCCTCCCTGTGCATGGACGCAATTGGGTCTAGCCGAAATGCAAATATGCTAGATAAGCCTAAATCAGCTTAAATCTTAGCCCGTACTTCGTGTAACGTGAACACAACTAGTGTTTACCCCAGAAATTTTATGCACTGCAGTGGTAAAAATGTATGTACTAATTTGCATAACATTTGTGTACTATTTGCATAATCATTCTGAACAGAAATTATGATAATTAACCTACTCAAGTACACAATGCACAAAATTATTGACTCGCAAAACTTATTTCTCCAAGAGAAACTTATCAAATTGATTCTCTCAGGATAATGACTGTGGTCAGACCAGTATGGCAGTAAAACAAAGCATTGTGATGGTCCCACCACACTGTGTGTATCCTGGGGGGAATACTGTCAGTGTCTGTACATGATATTAGACAGACTGGGACTAAACTGTTAACACATTTCCTGCTGAAAGCTTCTATGAATAGCCAAGATGGTGATGGTAAAACAAAAAAAAAACAGTTGAGCATGTGATGTGATGGTAATTATTTACTAGTAGATTAAACATTTGTTTTTCAGGTTTGTTGTATGTTGATAATTAATGTTCAACAAAGCAAAAGTGTATACTGTAAAATACTTCATTTTCGCTTGGAATTTATTTTCGCCATTTTCCCTGAAGGGATGATTCCGTGAAAATAAAATCCAGCGAATGTACTTTTTTTCTTATATTTCACATTAAACTCATCAAAAATCAGTGAAAATAAATTCCATACAAAACACCCAAAACTTAATTCCAGCGAAAATAAAGTATTCCACAGTAACTTCAATAATTGCCTACTATCAATTATTAGACTTTGAACTCATGGTGTTTTATATCGATCATTTGACTCTACTTCTATTTTGTTGATCTGACATATCAGAAAATGACCCAATTTTGAAGACTCCATCAATATCAAATTATAGCTGGACTCCAAATAATTACATGTATTGAAGTTTTAGATCAAGACTAGTGAAACGCTCTCATAGCTGTGCTCTCGCTGTCGCTCGCAAATGTCGTAAATTACGAAATTTTGACAAAATTTACGAACAAAATAAATATCTATTAGTAGGATTTACGAACACATTTTGTACAAAATACCCTCGCAAATCGCGCTCATTTAATTGTCAAGACTCGACTGTGATCATCACGCGTGTTACGGTTTGAGTGATTGCCATTTTAAAGTTAAACAACGTCCCGTTACTTCTAAGATTGCAACAATTGTTACATGGTGATCGCGAGCAACACGGAACTGCCACTGAATGTATTTTTCCACTCTAAAGTTATTTTGGTGTCATCGCACATGCGTAGTTTAGTCGACATGTGTTTCAAGATACCCCGCGACATTACTCTGAGTATGGAACGGTTTCATGTCGCCCTTATCAAACACGTGATTTATTTATTTATTGAAAATGGAGACTACGTCAAAAAGGAGCAGACAACTGCTCGACGACTATTTTTCACGACGAGATGGAGAAACCGCTAAATCGTGTTCAGAACCAGAAACAAATGGGTGTCCTAACCCTGACAGCACCAAGAAACTGAAAGTTGATCGTACTGCAGCACGATTTCAGAAATAATGGAAGGTTAGCTGCGGTTCCGTAGCTCTTTGGTGCGACATACAATCTAATTTTGCCCTACCAATTTCATTCGGACGTCTTGTTTTTATTTTTGTTGTTGTATGTCGAACATGGGCCGGCCAGTCTCTGTCACGTAAATAATGCGGTCGGCAACATAGGGCTATGATTCCACAGCTAATGGAAGGTGAGACAATGTTAGCGAATCGATCGAAAAATACTATAATTTGTGTAACATTCTTACCGGGCATTCTTAGCATTGAGATCGAGTTACAAGACCGAAAGTTACTTTAGTTACTTTTTCAC